TCCATATTTGCACAATAAACCTTTTGATGGTCCTGTATATGTTTAGATCTTCTTCTTTTTTTGGTCACTGGAAAAAAAACTGTCCAAATTAGAAAGCATTGAAGAGCTACGGGTGTTTGTCATTTCAACTGATACGAATGTGCATTGGAAAAATGTGAAGAAGCTGAAAACCCAGCTAGAGTCATCCTGCGCAAGCACAGTTATCAAAATAGGGCTTTTATTTTTCTTGGAATTTTGATTACTTTAGCTGCTGGCTCTTTATAGGCTCTGAAATTTAGAAGTGTTCTTATCACCTGTGACATGCAAATACAGATATCCAGGAATAGTTTGGTGATAGTAACTGCATGTACTCCTAAGGAGCAGTACATGTTGGGCAACCAGTTTTCAAAGATGTTGATGTAGACAGAATGAACGCCCGTTCACGCCAGAAATACACTTAACTGATGTTGTGATGATGTATTTTTCTGTAGTAAGCTGATTGTTGTCAGCCTAACAGTGAAACTGCATACAGTGGAAATAATAAATACTTTCAGCCCCAAGATTTCCATTAGACATGCACTAATTCCAGTTTTTGTTTTTTTTATTTTGAGTGATTCAGTTTTTCTTTCTAAGACGGCATACTCAATCATTCCTGTAGCTTATCTTTAATTGACTGATGACTTAAGTTTAGTAACATTTATCCTTTGATGACTTGCACTCTAAATCGGCGAGTTGAACAGATTGAGTTTAAGCTAATGAATGTTGAACAACAGCTACCTTTACTGAGATTCTTGCAAAAAGAGAGGAGACTTTGGAATGAATTAAGTCTACGCAGATTTCTAAGAATGATCGAAATGAGGAATCAGATTACTGACCAATCATAAGGTGCATGTCCATTTCCAGTCTTATGATGGGAAGCTAAGGTCCGTGGGGTTCCAGTCTTGAGTTTTAGTTTCTTTTTTTAAATAGCTTTTGAAGTCAGTGAAATATAGTGTGTATGTGACATAAGCAGTCTCCACACAGTCATATAATTTTACTAAAGTGTCAAACTCAAAGAGCTGACTCCAGAGGAACCTGTGTCAGGCCTCCTCGTGAAAGAAAGCCAGCCTGGCTGCAGAGAGTAGATAACAAAAAGAATTATTAGCGGTGCAGAATATGTGTTTGACTGACTGCTACTTTGCTGTCCACCTTTTAATCCACCTCTCAAAATTGATTTTCCTCTGATGTTCATACATCTCTTTGATAAGGGGTGAACCGAAATATTCAGTCTTTAGAGGTAGAGATGGATTGGCTTGACTATGACTCTGCAAATTCTGTTGTTATTTCCTTATTCTGGGACAGGGTGAAAGGATTATTCTTATACAAAACTGAACTTTTAAAACTTCAAATGTGTCTTTTACTTCTGTACCTTTATTTGTTATTAGCAGAGAGAAAAGATAAGATGATATGTAAACCCTTCCACAACCCACAATCACAGGGCTCTTATCTGGAACCAAATATTTGGCCACAACTGTTTGAGTGTACTGCCTGATAAGTTGTTTTGTTTGTCCAACACAGATAAAAGTGAAAGGATTCAAGTGTAGCTACAGACAGACTGTCTTTTACAACAGCAACTTCACAGTTTATTTTGCATCCGAGGAAAATTAGAAAAGATTGGTTAAACCTAAAACCAAATACAGCAAAGAGAAACATTTGATCTATAAGGTACATTTTTTTTTGCCAGTTCACAGCTTCCATCTGTCTCATAAGAAGTGTTGATTATATTGATTTTTCTCATTGCAGTAATACAGTTTTAGTTCCATGGTTAGACCAGAAAAAATTGATGACTGGCAATAAACTACCAGAGAAATGAGGTTGTGTTTATAGTTGGCAAGGTTTGTTGTGTTTGCTATTTCAGCTACAGAGATTTCCATGCAAATCCTTTATCTTTCCTCTGCTTGTCTGAACAGTTCCTTGCTTGTCTGGATTGTTTTACTTGCTTAACACAAATGGAAACATTTGCCACCTCCATAGTTTTGATTTCCTTGATGATATCTGAACGTCTGCTTGATCTAAAAGGCGGAAATGGCCATGCAATCTAATGACCTTGCTCTGCTTTAGAGGCAGAAAAGGTTAACAGTTAGTAATGGTGCAGTGAGTGACTTGGGCGTGCTAATGGACTTAGATGGAGAAGCATTACTCATGCAGCTGAGTGATGACATACCAGCCGGGCTGAAGCAGCCAAAATTATACCAAAGCCACCACGCTCCAGCAGTTGTGACATCATTTTTGACGTGCCATTTGAAAGGAAGTCATTGGTGAACTTAAGCGTCCTGCTAGGATTTGTACAGTCTTTACGCATAGCACTATTTGAACTTAGCATTCTTAGTCCACTCTTCTCTGTTGAAGGTAAAAATGTACTGTAGGTGATGCAAGGACAGTTGATCAGAGTGTGATGTATGGAGTTTGAATGCCAGGTCAAAACCGTGAGTTTCTTCTTGTGTTTCTTTAGCTGTTTCAGAGCAGTTTGTGTGATGTGACAGGGCTCATTAGTCTACCAGTGAAGGTCACTGCTATGGTAGATACACGACAAATGTATAAATCCTTTCCTAACATTCAACTTTTATCAATAACTGTCTGAGCAGGTGTCGATTCAACCTTCCAGTCATTTTGTAGGCTGTAATCCCCTCTCAAACTCAGCCTGTAAAGACCTTATAACCAGGATTCTAACATAAATAAACTCAGTGTATCACAATGATAACTCAATCAGAAAAGCTTAGCAGGCAGTTTATTGGCTGAACCAGCACAAGCATTGAAATTGAAAGGAATTTCATGGACTCTTATCAACTGGGAAACAGAAAATATGTCACTTATCTTTCCTTTCCACTGCCTGTTCACAGAACTATTGAATTGGAGACTGTTTTATAAATTCTGCACTCACCCTGCCTTTCCTTATGGATTGATAACACTGTTTTGCTTTGGTCCCATTTGGCACAGACAGGCGTGCTATGATTCCACCCCAGGGTCTCTCTGGGAATGTGGGAATGTTGGGAAAGAGAAAAAAGGGAGGATTAATGCAACTTGTGAAGGGCTCCTGCAAGCCCCTATTTTTATCTTGAGCGTGTGCCAGTGTCTGCTAAGTGGAAGGGAGACCACACACAAATAGCA